TGTCTTCAAGATTCGTTGAGATTAAATTAGAATTACTCTGAATCATATTTTTTTCTTTGTAGATTTTTTCTGTAATTCTATCCTATATTTTCTTGTAATTTAGAATTCTCTGTTTTACTCTCAGTGGTGTTCAGGGATTTTTTTTTTTTTTTTACCACAGACCAAAGCAGACCAAGACACAAACTCCCTCTAAGACGTTGAAGCCATCGCGCCGTCAGTCTGCAACGCCTGGCATGCCTTCACGCCAAGGACCTGTTAAGCATCCTCAAACACCTCTTGAAAAGGCACGAGAGAACCTTCATGTTTCAGCTGTTCCTGAATCCCTTCCTTGCAGAGAGAATGAGTTCCAAGAAATTTACTCCTTTGTTGAAGGAAAGCTGTTTGATGGCACTGGAGGCTGCATGTAAGTTTGTTTTTTTAAAGCCTTTTTTTTTTATTATCTCAGAGTATTCATGTTGACGAGATTTCTGTTCTTTTGTTTTGTTTCACTTTATAACATAGACTGTATTATTGTGGATATTTACAATAATATGTATGATAATATTTACAAACAGTTGTTATCAAGTACCAAGTAAAAGTAATTTCAATGGAGAATTGACTTTTGTCAAGATTGTTCTGCATTATATTGTGTATGCTTTTGTGCAGGTACATTAGTGGTGTACCAGGAACAGGCAAGACAGCCACGGTTAGGGAAGTGGTGCGGCTACTTCAGGAATGCAGCCAAGGGGGTGACTTACCAGGTTTCACATATCTGGAGGTGAATGCAATGCGACTTACAGAGCCTCATCAGCTCTGGGTTCAGGTAAGCTGATCTATTTCAGTTGAACTTGCAGTTTAAGCTTGTGTGTATTTGCAAAATGTTTATTGATATTCTTTTATTGCATTTAGTGTAGCCTACATTCATAGAATAATGAAACATTTGCTTGACTGAAAGGTTGACTTCTTAAAATAGGGAATATACCATCATATTTTGTTAACTGAATTTTTTAGTTAACATTTGCCCCTGTTGGGGTGACTATAGCTGTAAGAGACTGTACAGAAATAAAAGTTGAATTATTTTCATTGTTATTTATCTGTACTTTCATAACAGTGGTATAATGATAATTTTCTATTTCTTACAGGTTTGGAAAGGTCTCACAGGCAACAAAGTAACAGCTGACCATGCCTCGTCTCTCCTAGAAAAAAGGTTCTCAACTCCTGCCCCACGAAGGGAACCTACACTTCTCTTAGTAGATGAGCTGGATTTGTTATGGACCCGGAAACAGGTTAGAATATGTACACATTTTATCGGTCATTTCTTCTGCTCAGTGATCAAAAGCTTTGATATTGATTGTAATATTTTCATGAGGACATATGTTTACATTGGTACTTGCCTTATGCAAATGACTTTTACAATAGCTCTTTCCTTTTATTAATTATTTGTTACCTTTGTTTTAATACCATGTGGTTTATTTTGGCATTGGTCCAGAAAAGACAGCAAAGTATGAGATTCATGTTCAGTCACAACAATAGTGTCTCCTGCTGTCACCATCAGTATCAAGGACCTAGTGTAAACATTAGATATTTAATACTGTCAGCGTGTTAAGACCTATTCTGTAAAGTGCAAGTTGAGAAATAACTTCACAAACTGGATGCATGAGTGGTCAGTAATAGCAGAGGAATAACATGCATAACAGTATTTTGTGTTTTGTATTTTACCAGGATGTGATGTACAACTTGTTTGATTGGCCATGCCGTCCAGGGAGCAAGCTTATTGTTGTTGCAATTGCAAATACCATGGATCTGCCAGAACGTATCATGATCAATCGTGTGGCCTCGAGGCTTGGTCTTACTCGAATGACATTCCAGCCATACACTCATAAACAGCTACAGGTAATTACTTGAAGTAGAATTACATATTTATATTAATAATGAATGTATATATTTTCATAATGGTTATTATGTCATAAAATTAAAGGTATTTATTAAAGCTTCTTGGGACTTTCAGGAAATTGTGTTATCTCGGCTGTTGGGCATAAATGCTTTTGATCCTGATGCTGTCCAGCTTGTTGCTCGTAAAGTCGCTGCAGTGTCTGGGGATGCAAGAAGAGCCTTAGATATTTGCCGAAGAGCTACAGAGATTGCAGAGACGAAGACCATGCCACCTAGTCCAATGAAGTCTCCCATGAAGTCTCCAGTGAAAAGAAATGCACTTGTTGGCATGTTGCATGTTGATCAGGCACTGAAGGAGATGTTTACCTCACCAAAGATTACAGCAATTAGGTATGATGTCAAAAGAGTTAGGAAAAACAGCAATGTTGTTATAGTTTTAGTAGAAGTGGTAGTTGTATAATCCATAGGATTAGTACTCTTCTTATTTTTTATAGTGATAATAATAATAAAAGTATTAAAACTATTATCATCATTATCTGATCTTTTATGATTATTGCTGTTATTGTTTTTGTTATTGTCATTTTTATCAGTTGATTAATGGTTTCTTGCCTTATATTTAAACATTAATTATTCAATTAAAGGAGCTGCAGCCTGATGGAGAAGAATGTACTGCGTGCTGTTGTATCTGAGTTCTTACGAACTGGTCTAGAGGAAGCTGTTTTCATACGTGTATTGGAGCAGTACAACTCTCTCTGCAGATTTGATGGTAATTGTCCCCTTTTTTTTAACCCATTCGCCCTGGATTTATGTTCTGTCCCTTGTAGTTTTTGGTGAATTTTGTTGCATACAGATGGCTCCACATGTACTCAGCCGGCAAGGAGTCTATCAGTAGGCCCTAGTTACCGACCCTGATTTTCCCATTCATTGAATTGGCGGGAAAATTAATACCATAGCTATTGATACTGTTATTATTGTTATTGATGTTATGACTGTTAAATTGTCATTAGAATATTCTAGACAATGAAATGATACAAAAAAAACTTTCCTAAAGTGAAGGAAAAGGGTAAACTGGTGAAATAGGTAGTTCTTGATAACTGGCTATTTGGTGATTAAGAACTTGTGAAGCCATCTATGTGTAAATACAATAAATAAACGTGTATCAAAGTGGGTATGGCATCTATTCTTGCCACGTGGGATGAATGGGTTAACTTGTAATCTAGAAAATAATTTATTAAACTTGCATCATTTAGAATTAGTGTGTGTGTGTGTGTGTGTGTGTGTGTGTGTGTGTGTGTGTGTGTGTGTGTGTGTGTGTGTGTGTGTGTGTGTGTGTGTGTGTGTGTGTGTGCGCGCGCACATACTTTCATGATGATCTAGTTAGATTGTTACATTACATTTACTCATGTGGATAGTGAAAGAAAAGATAAAAAAAATATGAATATGTTAATACATTCATTAACACCTTTCTTGCTTTTGCTACAGGAGTGGAACCATCAACAATGTCAGAGGTAATGTGTATTGTTAACAGGCTTACCTCCCAGCGACTGATTCTTACTGAGCATTCCCGGAACGACCTAAATCTCCGTCTTCGTCTAAACATATCTACTGACGATGTGAATTATGCCTTACAGTCATCATAATAATTTTCATGTACTTTTTATTTCTTTTCTTCTTTTTTAAGTTAAAATGTCTTGTACTTTGTAAGGAAGAGAGCTTTTATATTGTGGCAACAACTATGCAGAGAACAGATATGCTCTTATATAATGGAGTATCACTGCTTTCTTCATGGATGCTGCCGGCACAATATTTTATTTTTTGAACATGAAATGAGCAAATTTCTTGTGGAATCTTTTAATTCCTCTACATTTTTTGACACTTTTATTATTACATATATTTTTTTTATCATCATGTGATCATTATGTATGTTTTAGTAAACCTCTTTTAAATCTATTAAAGAGAACTTTGTATATGTATTTTATTCTGTGTCCTTTACATTAATTTTGAAAAGTACTGATTAAGTTCATGAAAACAATCAAGAAGATACAGATGAGAATAAATAACTAAGCAAAACAAGAATATGGATGGAATCAATGTATCAGCCTATGTTAATCAGAATGGCATATTACCTGTAATTTTGTTTTAAAGTTGCAATTACATCTTCTCAAGTGAAGGTATTCTCATTTTTTGCATTTTCTATTTTCTACACGCAATACCTACTATGATAAACTCTTGTCCGTGTAAAATGCACGGTCAGGAAATATCTAATTCAATGAAGGAAGGTTTCTAAAAAGTAAGAAAACACGATATGTGTACCAGAAGCTGTAAGAAATATTAAAAGTATTTCATTTATTGTAGTCAGTTTTCAGAAAAGTAAGAAAGTGTGTACAATATTAAACCAATAGATACACAAGATCAAATAAATAGATAGACACATAACCAAGATGTAGATTTCAAGATTCAAAGGGGTAAAAGGGACTACTTGTTAATAACTTTATCAACCAGGACAGTGGTGATGACTAATGAATATAATGCTAAGAGCAAAATATCTATAGATGATATAAATTGCATTGCCCTCTTGTCTCATTTGGGTGAGAGAGGAAGAAAGAAAAGGAAGTATGGAGGGAATAAATAAAAAAAGGAAAGAAGGAAATAAAAAAAGAAAAAGAAAAAAATAGAAAGATAGATGTATATGTACATATATATACATACACATATATGAATTTGTGTATGCAAATATATGCATGTGTATGTGTATCCGTGTGTGTAGATACATAAATTTAGTACATATGTAATATATTGCGCATACCCAGAATCAATTTCCAATGTTTAGATAATGAATATTTAGACCTAACTGATCCGTAAACCACGGGGGAAAAAAACATTCGTGGGAAGCAAGCGCGCCGGGAAAAAAAAAGTTGCCGGTTACAGAAAACTCAAATAAGAAAAAAAAACGGATAGAGACCTTTATAAATTCTACTACGATATCAGAAACCCATTAAGAAAAACAAAAACAAAAACTTAAAACACTTCATATGCTATAAAAAAAGCTATCGAAATGCGACCGTCCCTCGATAACCGACTTTCCCGCTGCCCCTCCCCCCTCCCCTCCCCCCCCTCCACAAAGCAAGATGGCGGAGACTGGAGCAGCTGAGGTCGGGAACTCGAGGTAATGATGACAGTTTTCTCCTGATTGAGGTGACTTGGGCGATAGGCTCTGTCATTTCTAAAATTGGCATTCTTTGTTTAGTTCATTATGAGAGCTCTCATTACTCATGATTTGGGCTGAAGTCGGTGGCGTCAATCGATAGCTTTGGAATCTGCAAAGGGAGCGAGATTTCTTTAGGTCTAAATTTTAAATGTATGTATTTTTTCTTTTCTTGGCCAATGATGACGAACAAGGGATTTTCGAGAGGAATTTTACAGAAGGCAATGATTTCAATTGCAATACTTTCTTAAATGATCTTAGCGGGACTAGTCGTGTCACTTTTTATTAGAGAATATTAACGAGACGCGAATCACTAAATATTAATGCTTTCCTTCTCGTGTTTAAGGATAAATTTCCTTATATGTGTATTTATGTATTTATTTATTTGTTTGATTATTTATTTATATATATATATATATATATATATATATATATATATATATATATATATATATATATATATATATTTATTTATTTATGTATTAATTAATTAATTAATTATTATTATTATTATTATTGTTATTGTTATTGTTATTATTATTATTATTAATTTATATACATCCCTCAAGTTTTTATCCATGATATAAACCAGTAAGATACCACACCTATATAATTAGTCTCAAGTCCTTTCCAATGTTGCTGATTCTTACAGGACCAAGTGCTGGAGAGAGATGGTAAGGGAAGTGTGGTCTGTGTTGGTTGCAGCCTCTACTGTGACGTGGATCGCGGCTGTGTTGGGCATGCTAAGAGTAACTGAGGCCCATGCTAACACTGTTACCTACACCTTTACACAGTTCCCTTATAAAGAATCTGTGGCTAATGTAAGTTTGTGTTTAGTTTTATTTTCGTGGTGTGTTATTGAGGAAAACATATTTCTGGTCATTTTGTTTTTTTCATTATAGATAGAGAATTCAATATATATGAATATATGTAGTTTATTTACATGCTAAAAATTATAATGCTTCTGTAAATTAGGAATTGTCTACTTTCATTTGTATGGAAAATAAAGTTTAGTTTTTAATTGCTGGATAAGTGGTAAACACACACACACACACACACACACACACACACACACACACACACACACACACACACACACACACACACACACACACACACACACACACACACACACACACACGTATATGTATATATGTATTGTATGTATGTAATGTATGTATGTATGTATGTACATCAAACTGTCCATCCATCCACCCACCCATCCACCTACCCACCGACCCCCTCTTCCATCCCTACTTCCATTCATCCACCCCTCCATCTATTTATCTATCCATCCATACATCATCCATCTATCATCCATCCATCCATTATCCATCCATCAACTATCCATCATCCATCCATCCGTCCATCCATCCATCCATCCATCCATCATTCCATCATCACACACACACACACACACGCACAAGCACACGCACATGCACACGCACACGCATTGAAATGTATGTATTGTATGTAAGTATGTATGTATATACATCAAACTGTCCATCCATCCACCTACCCACTGACCCCCTCTTCCATCCATCCATCCCTTCATCTGTCTATTTATCTATCCATCCATCAATCATCCATCCATCCATCCTTCATCCATCCATCCATCCATCAATCATCCATCCTTATCATCATCCATCAATTCCATCATCAATCCATCCATCCATCCATCCATCCATCCATCCATCCATCATTCATCACACACCACACACGCCATCACGGCACACCACACGCACACGTATTGAAATGTATGTATGTAAGTATGTATGTATATACATCAAACTGTCCATCCATCCACCTACCCACTGACCCCCTCTTCCATCCCTACTTCCATCCATCCATCCCTTCATCTGTCTATTTATCTATCTATCCATCATCCATCCATCCTTCATCAATCCGCCTTCTATCCATCCATCATATATCCATCCATACATCACCCATCCATCCATACATTCATCCATTATCCATCCATCCATCATCTATACATCCATCCATCCATAGATCATTCATCCATTATCCATCTATCCATCATCATCCATCCATCCATCTATCCATCATTCATCTGTCATCCAACCATCAATAGTTTGTATATTATCTAAAGGAGAAATGAATACCACTGTCAGACCAGTCCTACCAAAATTCTTTAAAAAGGATATTAAAGAAAACTATCCATCCATCTATCTGTTGTCTGTCTGTCTCTGTCTATCTATCTATCTATTTATCTATTTATCTATATGTGTTTCAACCTACCCACCTGCCTTCGTGTGTAAATTATAAAATACTGGCTTGTTTTAGGAGAAGCTGTGGTCAGAGTATGAGGTAGCCTGTGCGCAGTCCCCAAGGTGCCTGGAGCTCCGAGGCGTGCAGCACACGCGTTGTGTCCGTCAGTGTGTGTCTCCTTCTTGCTACCTTGACATCTATACTCATGATGAGGTATGGAGGTGCTATTGGGACTTCCGTTTTTATTTGTTTAGTTTTGTAGGGTCAGTTATTGTGAGGAAAGTGTCTAAGGAGGGATTGTGTGTATCTTTTGTAATTTTTTACTTAGCATTTTTAGTCTTGACTTGTAAAAGTACATATTGAATGATATACAGCACTTGTTGTAGTTGTGTATTATGATGACATTAATGACTTGATTTTTTTGTAATTCATTAATAAGGTTATGATACTAATGACTATTATAAAACTAAGTTCAAAGTCTCAGATTCTCTTATTTCTACATAATTTTTGTATCATGATCTGAGTGTCATTTCAGTTTTTACAGACAGTCCAAGCTGTAAAATAATTACTGGGGCACTGTATTACACTTGCCCATAAAATTTACTCTTATGAACAACCTGTTTTGAAGTAATGACAATAATGATAGCTATTAACAGTGTCTGAGTATACATAATTTAGGATAACAGGAATAGAATATAGGATATACAGTACGCTGGTTTAAGTGTATCTGGTTGCAGGAATATATTTCATGTCTAATTATATAACTTTCATTTTTATCCCAACTAGCTTGAAGAAGGAGAAATTGATGTGCGACTGTCTTCCTTCAAAGGATGCTTTCTCCAACGTATGTCAGGACATCGGCGACCCTGAGGCCAGCCGGACTCTGTTCTCGCTCACCCTCGGCCTTCCCCAAACAGGATTCCATTCCCCCCAGACCCTCTGATGCAGCTCTGGTCCCGTCTTTTTGTGAGGGACTTGGAGGAGGTGGCACTCATGGTCTACCCATGGCCAAGGGTTCCTGTGACTAGGTTCTGATGAAATAATGCCCATGACTGTAGGTACTCTTTTGAGGGGTGGAGTTTGACTGTAGCTTTAAGACAATTGTGGAAAAAAAATAGTGAAGAATTGAAGAACTTAAGATTGGGTTCTTGGTCAGCTGCAGTCTAGGAAGTGAATAATCAGTGCTACTCATGGGTTTTTATTGTGATCTAAGCAGTACCAAAGACGAGTTCAGAGTGATGAATATCACTGAAAGGGGAACTTTTATAATGGACTAACATGTGTCTTAGTGGAAACATGAAAAAGAATATAGCCTTTTTTTTCTAAACAGCTGTCTGTGTATAATTTTTCTATGTCATCTACTGCACTGGTACTTAAGATTATATAGAAACTTGCATCTATTTTACACAAATGTAAATGATACCTCAAATTAGCAACCTATAAAGGGGTGAAACAGTTCATCTCAAGATCTCTTAGGATGTGCAATATCTATGATATAGTTCAGTTATTTAGTAAATACACAGTGAATATACATAAATGAGGAATATACATCAGTATCAATAATATAATTCAGTACTTTAGTAGATACTGAATAGATATACTTCTGTGAGGATAGGCTAGTCATTTTCCTGATAGTAAGAACTTTTACATAATGTTTACAATGTTTTACACATACTTTACAGTTCTGTAGATGATATTCAGAAACTGCATAATTATTATGACAATATGAGAAGATAATGACTTTTTGAATAATAAGTGAAATGAAGGTTATCGTAATTCAAAATGCAGTATCTCAAGCTTTTGGCATGATTATAACCAGTGCAGACCTATCCTCACTAGATAACAATTTATAATAGATGAGCTAATATGCAGTTGGAAGATAGAGTTTACACATTTTCATTTGAAATTTGATGTTTCTACTTTGTCATGAATAATTGTTTAAGAAACAGATAATTATTTTTGGATGTGGTCACACTCTGTTAATTAAGTAATGTTACACATATGGTAGTGATTGCAGTGTTTATTGTTATCTCATTGCATTGTTACTACATAATTTTAGAGTTTTGATGGTTGTAGCTTAATTATTTATTATTTGTATGTAATGTGTTACAGAAGAAAGATGAAAGTATAATTTTTGAAAAGGAGATTATGGTTATGGTATTGTACAACCCTTTCTGGAGGAGAGTATTGTGTGATATGATATATTCTGACCTAGTCAAAGTTTGATGTGATTTTTCATAAGGAAAAGAAGGTTTGATGCTATATATTATATTAGAACCAGTATATACTAATGGTTTGTAAAGTCTGCAATGTCAGACACCTATTTGGTATACTATGTATATCATGGAATTAATGTGCTAGGAATGATGAGATATATTTCCAGATGTAAGGATATGTGTTATGCATAGGGGTTGGGTTAGGATAGATTTAAGGAATTAATTTTCCTTGGTAACTTTTTGAAGCTGGGATGGATTGGGTTTGTTCCTGTAAATCAGGTCTTTTGAATGAGGAGAATGGTAAAAAAAATATATGTAGATTTGATTTGGGTGTTGGTGTTTACTGAAGATGCAAAGGTTTGGAATAGGAGAAGGCAGAAGGTAGGAAAATACAGACCTTTGAGGAGGGAAGTCTGTAAATGAAATATTCCTTTACAGGAGAAAAAAGAATTTTCAGTCATGAAAGGAAGTATTTCTGAAGGATGCACGGGAATGAAGAAGAGCTAAGTACAAATTTTAGATTGCAATCATTTTGCAAAATGCAAAGGCTGTTGAAACAGGTAATGCGGCTTCTGATTTGAGAAACCATGTTGAGATATAAAATGCAGGTCATTTTTTAAGGAGAGAGAGTATTGAGACAGGAATCACTGAGAAAGAAAAAATGCTTTTACACTCACGCAAGACATTTTTGTAATGAATCACCTCTGAATAATCACATGCTCATGAAGATCTTCCAAAGAGGTAAATGGAACAATGAATGTCCCTTTCTCTGTCTGTGTAGAACTTTGTATTCCCCCTTCCTTTGGTGGTGCTATATTGATGTTGTGATAAAGATGTGGTAAACAGGCAAGTTGTGGTTGTCAGCATTTTGTGGAAATGTTGCGTTTTGTGATTACGAATAAAGGATATTTGGTAAGCGATGTGTTGTGGGTAATGGAAAGTGTAGATAAAAACTAATAGATTTCATGTTGACTTTACACATAAATGTATTGTTATATTTGTCATGTTTTTTCAAGGCAACAGTTCTTTATATAGATATTTAAAGTACTTGGTGGAAAGTATTTTTGAAAGTGAAACAAGCTCTTTTGAATTGTTGAAAATATTTACATGTCCTTTGTAATTCAAAGGTTTAATACTGATATAACTGTTGATGAAGTGTATGTGTATGTGTATGAGTATATATATGTACCTATATATGTATAACACAGCCTAAATATAAGCTCACACTCACACTCACCACTCACACTCACTGTCACACACACACACACACACACACAATCTCACTGTCACACACACATTCATTGTCACACACACTCACACTCTCACTCTCACTCACACTCTCACTCTCACACACCCAGTCACTCACACACTCACACACTCACACACTCACACACTCACACACACACACACACACACACACACACACACACACACACACACACACACACACACACACACACACACACACACACACACACACACACACACACACACACATGTGTATGTGTATGAGTATATATATGTACCTATATATGTATAACACAGCCTACACATAAGCTCACACTCACACTCACTGTCACACACATTCATTGTCACACACACACTCACACTCTCACTCTCACTCACACTCACACTCACTCTCACACTCACACACACTCAGTCACCCAGTCACCCAGTCACCCGGTCACCCAGTCACCCGGTCACCCACTCACTCACTCACTCACTCACTCACTCACTCACTCACTCACTCACTCACTCACACACACACACACACACACACACACACACACACACACACACACACACACACACACACACACACACACACACACACACATACACACACACACACACACTCACACTCACACACTCACATACTCACACACTCTTACACCCTTACTCTTACCCTCACTCTAATCTAACTCTTTCTCTTCATGCTAAGGTGAATAAACACAAAAAATAAAATGATAGACATGAAGAACATCACTTTTCTTAGCAGTTCATCCTTCCTGTGCAGCCTTATGCAAACACAGACACTTTCATTTATACTGGTGCATATATACCATCTCTTGCATATATTCTGGTGGCAAGCTATCTGATGTTCACATAAACTGACTTGTATGTACGCACTTAGTTTAGAAACTCGGCAACACATTTGAGACAATACTGCATGTAGAATGTTAAAAGATAATGCTGTAGAATTAGCAGCATCAGGGTTGTTGGTGACTGATAATGTTTGTTGCCTAGATCAACTCCAGGAGAATATCAGTTTTGTGGGGTACATATTGTGGATTTCTGTCTGTTCTGTTGCTCTTTTTGAAGAGCCTCATGTTCCACTTTCTAAAGGTTTTCCAATCCTCATTTGAAACTTTTGAGACAGGTAGGATCTGACTGAGATAACACTGTTTACTGAAATGACACTAGTTCCTGGGAGTCAGTCCAATTTTTTTTTTACTTTTAGAACATATCTCAGAAGACTTAGCTGAAACCTTAAATAGGAAGTTTTAACTTCTGTTAGTTATGAGAGCCTTGAAGAGCCCCAAGACCTAGTGCTATACTATAGAGTTCAATCCTGTAGAATCAATCCATTACTATAGAATCAATCCCAATCTTTCACATTGCACCGATTAGAGAGAGCACTTTGTAAAGACAACACAGTCCTGTGGAATAAAGGCTCAGTCTTGTAGTTTTGGTCCTTCCAAGGACTGTGTCATATAAACTACAAGTATTTATGCCTCCTTATAGAGATTTTATAGGTTCCATTTTCATGGGCTGAATAGTGCTATAGACATTTGCTGTAGGCTTTATTATGGTCCCTTTTCCTATGCTTTAGGCTTTTCTATTAACATATGACCAGAACATCTTCCACAGAATTGGCAGTTTTAGATCTGTTTAAGGAAATCCTCTTTGTTCTTGATCTTATTTCATAATTACCACCACCACTGACATTTTTCTATTAAGATCAATAAGTTTCTTATAGTTCTATTTATTGTTGGTGTGTAAATTGTAAGTATATTGTATGGTGATGTACACCCATTTTACTTGTAAAAGGAAACAGAAAAAAAAATCAAAGAAAGACTCAAGTTATTATACTAGAGTACTCCTTTCATATTGTTGAGAAACACATGAAGGACTGTTGTCCCATATGCAAATGTAAAGAAAAGATACATGTGTTTGAAATGTGCATTTTTTTTCAATTTATGTATCTTTTTTGTTTACCGGTGTTGCTCTAAACATCATGGAAACTACAAAACTATGTCAATGATTTAATTTTTATAAAAGAAATTATATTTTAGGAAATTTACTTAACCCTGGCAATTATTCAATTGTCATTGTTTTTAAAAAAATAACTGATGAAAATTAAGACAGTTTCACATTATCACATGCCTACACCTCCATGATCAAGACATAGATGGAATACATTACTGCAAAATTTACATGCATAATAGGTTAACAATTGTTCTTAAAGATGACATAGTTACTCGAATTCTCGGTTTTCTGATGCAAGTTCTGGTAGGAGCCATGCTGGTGGTTCCTGCTAGGGCCATCTTCAGGAAAGTCCTGTCATGGGATGCATTCTGGAGTAAAGAGTTATCATGTATGTAAAATTATTTTGTAACAGGGAAGCTGTAGTGCAGAATTTTAGCCGATTAA